TAATAATAATAATAATAATAATAATAATAAATAATAATAATAATAATAATAATAATAATAATAATAATAATAATAATAATAACAATAACAGTAATAATAGTAATAATAATAATAATAATAACAATAATAATAATAACAATGAGAATATATTAAACGAATCATATTATTATTAAATGTATCCAAGGAAGAAGACAAAGATAAGGAATTACAACAAATCTATTTCAAGGCTGAAATATGGAAGATTCTCGAATATCATTCTGATATTAAACTGAATAAAGCAATAAATCCCTTAATAGCTAGGACAACCCCTTATATAGTTGATGTAAATTACATAAACAAAATATCATATATGATAGATCAAAGATCTTTACAATATTCCGACAGCTAATATATAAGTAATTTACATATGAGATTAATTCTTAGGTAAGAATTTGATAAAAAGTTAATAATTGATTCACCTATAATTTTAGGCGATTTTCTAAATAATAAATACTTTTGTTTACCTTAACAATAGTCTAACCTTGCATAGTTCTAATTCTGTTTGTACATGACTTTCCAATGATTGAATATAGGTGAAGATAATTGGAAATGAAATCATACATGTTGTAATAGCACCAGTGGCTAATACAATTGCTACAAAAGCATTTGTTTTCATCGAATGTGGACGCGTTTTTTCTTCCATTCCTATCAAAAATAAATAATTAATTAATTAATTAATTGATTAAACAATGAAATGAAATGAATATTGAATTAAAAAAAACTTCTTATTTATTTAAACTAGGCTTACTTATTAAGCATTAATGTCACATTAGCTGATGTCGCTTATCCTCTTCCTTTCTAATGAATTTTATTAATATTAGCAATAAGAATGTGAAAAATCTTATATTCAATAGAGGAAAAAAAAAATGGAGAAAATAACAAAAAAAATATCAAACTTTAATATTAATATTATGCTAAAATGTTTTTTAGCGATATTTTTGATAATTTACACTTAGCGTCAGTTTAAATTTAATATTTTTTGAAATAAAATTGAATTAAAAAGTGATAAATGTGGAATAATAGCAATTTTAATTTTAATTCAATCCTTTTCTTTTTATTTCATTTACTGCAATAATACTTCTCTAATTATTAATACTTAAATTGTTTTTTATTGGATTATTATTGATTCAATTTACCATTTAATTGTCTGTTACAATTCAACTAATACTTATTATATTACGGTAAATTATAAACATTTAATTAATGGATTGTAAACATATTACAAGTAATTACCATCATTCTCATCAACATTTTTAAAAAAAAAAAACGAACACTGTTATCAATGTGAAAAAGAAAAAAAAAATGCAAATGAAATCTTTAAAATTTTTGACGAATTTACTCATTACTATTTTAATTAAATGTTATAAAATAAATGATATAAATCAATTTTCAAATAATAAAAAATTACTTTTTAATTTTTTTTTTTGTTTTATTCAAAGACAGCAAATTTTCTTAATAAATGACAGTCGAATTGAAACGACAAACAAGTTTATTTGTTTATATAGTGTCATGATATTACTAACATTGTTGACAGGTAACGGTTACACTACCGCGTCCAATTCCATTTTAAAATTATTGCACAATAAATACTTCTTAGGATGAATTTCTTTTTTTCTCATCGATAAAAAAAAAAAAGAACTACAGGAAATTATACTGTAATGAATTACAAAAATGATTGATGATTCATTAATTTTGCATCAAATTTCTTTAAATAAATAAAGCTAAAGAAAATGGAAAATTGCGCTATTGCATAGAATAATTTCCGGAATTGACAAAAAACGGATGAAGATAAAATGGACTTTTTTTTGAAATTGACGGAAATACGAACAAAAATGGAATGGATTTCCTGAAACTGATGAAAATACTGATAAAGATAAAATAGATTTTCTCCATTTAATTTCATGCAAACTACAGAACAGAGTTGTAATTGGAAAAGAGTTGTAATTAGAAAGAGTTGTGATTGGAAAAGATTGACATAATTTATTTAAGTTTATCCGGTTTTCCAAGTGAACGAATACTTTTATCCGGTTTTCCAAATGAACAAATACTTTTGTCCGGTTATCCAAATGAACGAATACTTTTATCCGGTTTTCCAAGTGAACAAATACTTTTACCCGGTTATCCAAGTGAACGAATACTTTTATCCGATTTTCCAAATGAACAAATACTTTTATCCGGTTATCCAAATGAACGAATACTTTTATCCGGTTTTCCAAATGAACGAATACTTTTATCCGGTTATCTAAATGAATGTTTATCATTATTTACCATTGTATACCATTGATGTAGTGTCCCTGAAAAAAGATACCACTGATAAAATCTCCCTTAAAAAAAAGCTCATAATTTTGAATATGAACCAATCATTTCGTCCTTCCAGAAAGTCATTATGCTTTTTTTTTTTTTTTTCAAACCAATGCTCATGATTTTTATTTTAAAACAACATTTCCTTTTTTCTGAAATTTTGTCATCCCTTTTTCAAGCTATTTCTGAAATGTAATATCCTTTTTCAAGTTATTTCTGGATTATCATCATCCGTTTTCCAAGTTATCACTGGGAAGTTATATCCGTTTTTCAAATTATCTCTGAAATCATTCGTTTTTTCAAGTTATCTCTGAAATTTCATCATCCTTTTATTCAAATTAATTTAATCGAAAATATCGATTACCGTATTATTGATTAATCAAATTTCTGCTAATTATATGCTTACTTTTACCATTACTAATATGCATAGTATCTTCTTTCTTTTTTTTTCTTTTTTGATTCCATTTCATTATTTGCATTTTTTTCTTTGATTTTTTATTAATTTATAATTTGCAATGCAAAATACTTTCATAAAATGCTATAAAATAATAAATGATTGATTGTTTCTTTCTTTTGGATATTATTTCTTCAAATAACTATATTTTCATTTTCATCATTTTAATTTTCTTACACTATTATATCTTCCTTTATCACACTATCATATCAGCGATGATCACAATTATCAAATTATCAAACCTACCATTAATTTTGTTATGGATAAAATGATGAATCACCAAATAAGAGATTATAACAAGATATGATCACAATTGCCATTATTAGTTTCTTTTTTTTTAAATATCGATTCCTTTTTTTTTAATTTGAACTTTAAAAGTAAAAGGTAACATATTCATGAGCATTTTATATTGATAAAAATAATAACTGATATTAATTTTTGCAAAATATACTTGAAAAAAAATTCAAAATTTAAATTTAATATTAGAGAAACTTGCACTGTTCACTAATCATCTAATTTCAATCATATCTAATCAATGTTTTTAATAAACAAAAAAAAAATTAAAAACTGAAATTTTCATATTTCGTTTAATATTGTTTAGCAATTTTGATATATTTTATCACAAAAGTTAATAGAATTAAAAAATGTTCGAAATTTTTTAAATTTCTTTTAGTGCAAGTAAAAAATTTATGAAAAAAAATGGTGATAAATAGTGTTTCAAAAAATTTTACTTCGTGTAAATTTCAGTTTCCGTTATTGTCGTTGTTAAAAAAAAAAAAAAAAAGAAAATTGATTTGGAATTTGATTTATTGCTTAGTTGAGGAAGAAAAGAGAAAAATACCTGTTTCCCCAACAATCTTTCTTCCGTACAAGGTCATTCAGGAATAGATTTGACGAAAAAAAAATTAAAACCTTTTACTTGTTTAAGCAATTTAAATTAATTTAACTATTTTAATACTCGAAATATATTATTTAGTTCTTCTTCGTATTTATTCTATTCATTTGAATGTTTATTACATATTAAAGTAAAAAGGTAGCATAAAAATATTTGGAATTCTGGATAATAAATTTTCGAACGGTATTTTAATAAGCTGTTACCATTAGAGTGACCTCAACTTATAACCATTTAAATGATTTCCATTTACTACTTAAAAGTAGATCACTTGAAATATTTTGTTTTTTTTTGAGTTAAGATTTTGAAATATGGAAAATATTGGCTATCATATAAGCTGTATTTTATTGTTTTAATTTTACTAATAATCCAATTAATTATAAAATGCGGTGATAATGATGATGAAATTCATTCTGATTTCAGGATATCATAGTGTTTTCTTGAAATTAATCTCGGAATGAAAAAAAAAGAAAACTTGAAAGATCAAAAAATATAGGTCAATGTACAAACTGAAGGAAACTACAAATTAATTACATTCATTTGTTTTACAATAAATTCGAATTTCAGTATAATTTTTATCATTTATTTCCAATGATAAAGAGCTATGAATTAAAAAAAAAAAAAATGAATGTAATTAATTTGTAATTCGAATTTCAGTATAATTTTTATCATTTGTTTCCAACGATAAAGAGCTATGAATTCAAAAAAAATAAATGTAATTAATTTGTAATTAATTTGCTATGAATTCAAAATGCTTCTAAAAAATTTTGATAAATCACCTAAAATTGAAATTTCTTTTTAAAATCCATCAATTTCATATAATTTCGATACAACACGAAACACTTTAATTAAAAACAAAAAAGTAAGAAACAAAGGAAAAAAAAGGATTAATATTTGTGAAAGTTTAGAAATTGCACAAATCAATTACCGTATTATTACAGTTAATATTAAACATTCTTGATTGGTAATTTTTGAACTTATAAATATTTAAATTTGAATTTAATATTGCATTTGGTAAAAAAAAGTGCCTATTATTGTACAACGACAATTTTATATGTGAATGATTCATTCAAATGTTGTCAACAATATCTTTCATCTCAAAATAATTTAATAATATTTCCTGAATTTTACCACCCAAATGATTTTACAATTATGTAAAAAATTCATTTCACTGTTGTTGTTATTGTTTCTTTTTTTTTCCATCTTTTTTAAATCCATTAAATGAAGTGTAAAAAAGGAATTTTTAATTGCAATAAAAATCTATTTGTTGATCACTTCTACCTGAATACCTGAATTTCATCCCTTTAAACTAATTTAATTGATTGAAATTTTCATTAAACTGCTTTCCATTTATGAATAAAAATAATTCATTTATTAAAAAAAAAGTATTTGGTACAGATTTTTTAAAATAATCATCCAAAATCATCCAAAGATTTTATTATTTGGTCCGAAAATTGATCTGTTAATAATTCAGCATTTTGAATAATAAATAAAAGAAATGAATTGATTAGACAAATTACAGTGCTAGTTTTTTTTTTT